AAGGCATCAGTTTGCGACCTCCCATCTTCTTTCCTTTATCTTCTTTTATGGCACCGTGAAACCATTGGGTCCCCTGGTGCGACGTACAGTCGCCTCTCGGTGCCGTCTTTTTCTTCTGGTAGGATCCGTCCTTTTCCGGCACCTTTCCTTGTCTTTCTTGTAGGTCATCACTTCTTCACAGAAGATGATAACCGCTTTCCGCTGTGCCTCTCATATAATGCAATAAAGGCTCGTTCTAGTGCCTCCGGAGCGTGATCTTCTCCTATAGCTCTCCTGAGCTCGATCCTTCGTTCGATGAACGCAGGTCAATCGTCCACGGTGTGCTGAGCCAAATCCACCTTTGGCTCCGCATTCGAAGTGGAGTGTTCCGCTCCGATTCGATACAAGAACTTACCGAAGCATCCATGCCCGGGAGCACCTGTTACGCGATACATTAGCCCGGACTGTCGTGTGCAGTTCTGCCACTGGTCCCAATTGGCGAGGATTGCCCCGGTCGCCCATTTGATTCCAGCTCCCGATTCCTCTAGCTCTGCTTTTCATTTCCGCAGAGTTCGGCCCCGGGCTGTTTTCCGCTTGCTAATTTCTTCTTTCAGCGGTGGATTGCAGGCTTGTCTCAGTATCCACCTGGCGATAGACTTTGACTTCTGCCGCGGCCTGAAGATCGAGTGGAATCATCCCAGCAAGAGCCACGGCCGCCTGAAAAAATGCCGATTGATACGCACGCATAGCTGTAATGGCCATGACGCACTCTATCCGGCGCAGTATTTCTCTTCCTTTCTTCTTTAGGCCCTTAGACCAAAATGGGGCTCCGTACATAGCCATGGACTTGACCACCCTTGCATATAGGAAGGGGACTCTGATTCGGGCCCGCCGATGTTCGGTAGGATTCGGCCAAGGAGAGCAGTAACCTGCTCTATCTTCGGCGCGAGTCTTTCGAAATGTACTTCGAAGATCATCTGGCCGTCCAGCACGGACTCTTGCGGTCTGCATGATCTGGCAAGGCCGTGGAGCCACATCGCCTCAGTCTTTTT